AAATCAGAATGGTTGAGGGAAATTATACGAGCTGCGGTTTTAATTGCCATAGTAAATCTAATGCATAACTAAGACAGTTTTTTTTATGCCATTTTGCCTTAGGTCAGCGATTAAAGTGTCAATTCGTAATTTTCTTCACAAATTTGGAAACTCAATGAGATGTGTCAAGATTATTAGTCTTTTTCCATGGAAGATTTCATGAGATCTAAAAGGATTTAAATATACTAATATTTGTAAATGGTTTTGTCTTTTCATGTGTTGTTCAAGACAGCCATTTCGCAAGGCATGGTGTAAAATCCCTATTTATTTTGATGATCAAGGTCAGAGTTATACTGAAACTAGTGGAGATGCTAGTGGACATTGGCTCTCAATAAAGCAAAACGAAATTTTAATGAATAGGTAATAACAAAAATAAAGCCAACAGAAACAGCAGTTAAGTCCTGATCTGTCAGAGAAGTTAATAGCTCAGTTAAAACTGCCTTTAATCCTAATATCGGCACCCATTCCAGAATCAAAAGCTGGATTGGTAACTGAATTGTCAATTAAGGCGTCCAAAATCTGAGGCTCTGTAAATGATTCGCAACAGGTACTCCTGAACAAGTTGGATGAATCAGTTTCTTCTGGCTTCAGCTGGTATGTACCCTACCATGCCAGTATTCCGTAAATAGGCTACGGCACATTACCCGAGGTATAACCATGGTTGTAATGCAGCACTACTTCTGCGTTGTAAGCAACTGCAATCTTCAGATACTATCCTTATTTTCTAACTAACCGGGCATGTCGAACTGTCAGAACATACGACGGCATTCGCCATTGCCACTAATGATCATTATATCGAACTCCGCTGTTCCTGGTCCGTAGTCAGAGAAAAAAGGAGGAAAGTTGCAGATTATGGTAGAGTCTCCGTGAAACCCAGCCAACAAACCGCCATGGTATTTTCGTCATTTAATATTACACTGGCTCGGTCGTCGTCGGGTTACCAACGGCCGGGCAACCTATTGGGCGTTGCGAAAAGTCGGCAGCTTAGGCATAGCAGCAGAACAACAGGAGCCGAACATCGACGAAACGAAAATTCCTATCAGCGACTGAGTCGCTACCCGTTTGAACAGGATAGGCAGACTACGTGATGTCAATACATCACGACAGGAACCACACTGCCAATGGCAGCCTACGGTCAGAAATTGGGAATACCTTCATTCAAAGAGAATGAGCAGGAACTCGATGATGAGGCCGCAAGATGCCAACTCGATGCAGTTTGACTCTTGGAAACGAAGCGCAAAGGCTTTGGAATCCTCAACCTCCGCGGAAACTATTCT